CGCTGCTGGATGGGCTGCACGCACGCGCTCGTGCTGGTTCTCTGACAACAGGTTTTTCTCCACTGCTGGATGACTCAAGTTGCACGTGCTCGTGCTGGTTCTCTGACAGCAAGTTTTTCTCCACTGCTGGATGACTCAAGTCGCACGCGCTCTTCTCTGGTTTGCAGAAGCTCTTGCTTGGTGCATCGGTCGCGCTTCAGCTGGACTCAATGTAGAATAACTTTCAGCGATACTCTTTCTTTCAGCTCTTTGAACTCACACTCGGTGGCGCCTCACAACCCTGCGAGTCTTGCCATCGTCAGTGAGTAGTGACGGGGCCCCTTTGGCCTCCGCTCGCCGCCCCCTGCTCTGCAGCTCACCGGCTGGCGACCTGTTCCTCTCGTTCCCGGTTTGAACTGCACTTTTTAGATGATGGTTCAGCCGTTATATTCAAAAACATCTCCGCTCTGCCCCGTGGAGGGCGTGGCCGGTGTGTGTGTGTGCGTCCGTGCGTGTATGTTCGTGTGTGTGTCATTCCACTGAGCCATTCCGCGTCTCCCCATCCATCGTACCCTCCCCGAGGCGTACCTTCACCCGTGGGTCATAGATGGTCCCCCCTCCCTGCAATGATTATTTCTGTGGTGTTATTCCTGCTCTCCCGCACGGCGGGAGACAAAGACGGCCGGTGTCTCTTTCTCTCTCTGACTCTTGAGAGAGGGAAAACACACACTATCACTGTTTGCTGTGCTCAGCACTTGGTCTGTGACCTCTGAACCTGGGCGTTATTATTTATTTAATTCAATGGCCCATCCTTGACCTGCACATGCTGTTGCTGAGGGACTTGGGACTGTTTTTATTCATTATTAAAATTAAAAAAAAACAATAGAAATATGTATCTATATGTATAGGAAAAATTCTTGTTAATATTAAGATGGAAAAAAGGGGGAATATATACAACAGTGGTACCTGCTATGATTACAGCAGTGCATACTGACTGTGGTGGTACCTGCTATGACCACAGCAGTGCATACTGACTGGTGGTACCTGCTATGATTACAGCAGTGATTATACGCTGAGTCACTCACACATCATACACTCACTCATCATATGCTGACTCACTCATCATACGCTGACTCACTCACTCATCATACGCTGAGTCACTCACACGTAATATACTCACTCATCATACGCTGACTCACTCATCATACACTGAGTCACTCACATCATACACTCACTCACACAGCCACTGACCCATTCACTCATACACTCACACTACCACTGACTCACTCACACATCATACATTGGGAGTGTCATGCTGCCAGCTATGGCTGCTAGTTTGGTTGTACATGTTATTTATATCGTTTATTGTTAAATGAGAATCACAGTTCTTATGATTACTGTTGTTACATTGTTTTTGAAGCTTTTTTTTTGGTGATTTAGAAAACATGGTTAATCTATCTTATGGTTGGTATTGTTTGACTTGCATCACACTGGGATTTGAGCACACAGCGTTGTAATACTTTTTTGTTTAATGTGCTGGTTTATCCAGAATGTTTCTGTTGCGCGTCGTCGCTTCAAGACGATTCTAAAGTAATCTACAACCTTCGATTCCTTTGTACGATTTAAAGAATCGATTCTTGGCACGCTCGGGTTTTATTTTATTTTAAATTAATGAGTTATCTTTTCATTTGTATGTTATGTTTTTAAGTTTTCAGACGTTTTTAAATATATTTCCCCACTAGTAGCAGTATATATCGACTGTATAGCACAAAGTACTCAACTGACAGATTGCCATGACGAGGCCTAGTCCCTTTGTTGGCTATATAGGCCTTTTCCACAATTAATATCAATAAGAATATTTGCCGATATATTTTTAAACAGAAATAATGAATGAAAACACACAACCCTCCCAGCAAACAGCATAGGGAGGTCATGGAAAAGCCATTAAATTGAAAATAAATAATAAGCTCCGGGGCAAAGAAAGTTAACGACTGTCTGCGAAATCTCCAGATGGCCACGGGAGGACAGTGACAAAAAATATATTTTCTCTCTCTCAAGAGTCAGCCAGAGAGAGAGAGAGCCTCCCGGCTGTCTTTGTCTTCCCGCAGCACGAGAAAGGAATTTAACCCCTAGCGAGGAATTGCGTGTTGTTGCAGGGAGGGGGGGGGGCATCTGTGCCCCATGGTTGAAGGGATACATTGGGGAGGGGACGGTGATCGATGGTGGGACGCAGGATGGCTTGAGGGGATGACATACACACGGACGTACACACACAGGCCACGCCCCTCCACTGCGCAGAGCAGAGATTTTTTCCAATGTAACGGCTCAACCATCATCTCAAAAGTTCAGTTCAACAAGGCACAGCGAGTTCAACAAGTTATCAGCCCGGTGAGCTGCAGAAGAGTGCGGCGCGCGGCAAGCCCAGGGTGGCCCCACGATCAACTGAGAATGGCGAGGCTCGCCGAGTAGCGAGGTGCCAATGAGTGCGAGTTCAGAGCTGAAAGGCCTTTATTTCTACATCGAGTGCTGGCTCCCAGCTGCAGCGCGACCGACACAACAAGCAAGAGCGTCTGCTGCCAGCGGCCAAGCGTGTGCCGACTTGGCCCATCCAGCAGGGGAAGGAGCCGGCTGTCAGCGAACCAGAGAGAGCGCATTCGGGCATCTCCACAGAGAGAGCATGTGTGTCAACTACTACAGCAGTGGAGAGAACCTGCTGTCAGCGAACCAGAGAGAGAGCGTTCGGACATCTCAACAGAGAGAGCGCAGTCATCCAACAGTGGAAAGAGCCTGACCAGCCGCCCGTGAGCAAAAGCAGCAGCCACCAGAGAGCGTTCAGCGCTTGAAAGCGTGCAACCAGTGATCGCCATCTACCGACGAAACACCGCGACTACAGCACCGTGTCAACTCGTCAATCTGCATCAGCCGAACTCCAGCTGACCGCGTGATAGAGGAAACCCCGCTGTCCATATGATACACACACCCTCACACCCCCACCGCTCCGTAGGGAACAAACACATTTTTGATACAAGGGATGCCCAACCTTGGCGTCTGCTTTACGCAAAGAATTAACGCAAGAAGAACAACAACACTCACACATTAACACATACAAGAAGACTCATAATAAGTGTGTCAACTATTAGCTGATAATGAAGAACATTGTGGCCCATTGAGTTACGTGGATACGGTCACTTAGAAGTATTTGAGTCGTTCATTTTTTTAATTGCAGAATCTTGCAGATGTATCCATGAATGAACATAACGAATCTATTGACGGATACTTGTGCTTTTGGGAAATAATAATTGTTTGATTGTCTTGTCATATGAATATCGTTGCATAATAATCAATCGGCCTGCTGTCCTGTTAGCAACGTGACAAGAACTGCATTAAGGGTTGCATATGATCAATAATGAGTGCAGTACTGTGTGGGCAATTCAAGTATAATCATTCATAATAGAGTATTAAGGTTTTTGTTTGAATAGCGTGCCTGTATGTTTTAACGACTCTCTCTCTCACCAACTGAGCTCGCGTTATGCGGGGGAAGGAATCACATGTGCTGTTGTCAAAGTGAAACAACACAGTCGTTGATGATACTGTGTTGATACCTTGTTGAAATTCCAAGATTGAGAGTTGCATCTTCTAGAGTTAAAGTTTAGTTAGAAATAAAATTGATTAACGCAGAAGTGTTCACGTGTTTCTTTCCGAAATTTCATGCATAAGAGCTGTATCCTGCGTCGAGATCTGAATCTGGAGACCTGAACACACTAATACATACTCAGTAAATGTTAAAGCGAGAAAATTGTATTGCCGAGCGTTAATACGAAATTAAACAACAAAGCCAAGTTGGCTCTGGCATGCTCACAGCACCTGCATAACTGCATACTATTAATTGTCTTATTCCGATTGGATACGACCCTTGTCAGCGAGGCGAGGCCTAATTATCATAATGACTCACATTAGCATAATCACGTAAACTCGCATAAATCAATACGATTATCTCTCGAATTAGCATAATTTGCACGCATAATTTCATCAATTAACATAACTTCGGATAATTATGCAATTTCCCAAATTTCATTTAATTTTTATTATTTTCACCAAATTTTCATAACCTACATAAACAACACCGTGCAAAGCCTCCGGCCTCGCCTAGATTGCCCGGCCGGCCGAAGCTGTGGGCTGGGCCGCTACCCCCACCCCCCCCCCCACCCCGCGCTACAATAATCCTGTTTACTCGCTATAATTTTAGTATCTACCGACCCTCCGGCGACGGCGTCTGTGCGTTGCCAGGGGCAACTCGTGTCAGAGTTTCGCTTATGCGCAGCAGCAAGCCGGTCAGTAAAAGTAAATAAATAAATATAAATCACACTAAAACGTTAACTTAACTACTTTAAATGTGACGGATGGCAAAACGGAATAGCCTATGCCAAGCAGGGGGCTTGGGGTGTGCCGCCCGGAAAAACATTTTCTACGCGAACCCCGCGGTCCGAGAGCCAAATCCCTCGCAAGCGAGCGTACACAGACAGATGGATAGACAGACGGACAGACAGATGGACAGACAGATATAACCTTGTGCCATGGCAGCTCTCTCACCTTCTGAAGCAGTTGTTTCTTGCTGTAGTTGTCCCACCTGATGACGATTGCTTGTGTTGCGATCGAAACTTCGTGATTTGTTCTATTTTATTTCATTTCGAACTACGTTGCTTTACCGAAAGAACCAAAGAGTATGGATTCCTGCAGTCACGAAAGCTTCAAATCAAGATAAAAATTAATACTTGGTGCGGTGAGAAAACATCTCCACGAGGGAGACAAAGGCGGCCGGGCGTGGTGCTGGCACCACCCCCTCGTGTGCCATTCCAGCCTGCATAGGTGCTCGCAAACAGCACTTGTGCCAATAGTCTATTAAGGCTATAGGGTGATCTTTGTCTTTGTGAGTACCAGTGAGTGAGTGGCAGTGAGTGAGTGGCGCTATCCCGTCTCACCCAGACTACACGCTCGAGTGGGGAGACATCGCCGTCCACCCCATGCGTCACTCCGTGCAGAAGTGGCCCAAGGCCGGGGACGGCCGAATCTACGTCCCCTACAAAGTGTCCCTCGCCTTCTGTGAGTGGCCTCGCCTCCTCCTCCTGGTCCCCCACTCACCCCCACTCTGTACTCCTCCTGCCTGTTCCCCCACTCACACCTGCGCTATACTCATCCTGGTCCCTCACTCACCCCCACTCTGTACTCTTCCTGTTCCCCCACTCACCCCCACTCTGTACTTCTGGTTCCCCACTCACCCACACTCTGTACTCCTCCTGGTCCCCCACTCACCCCCACTCTGTAATCCTCCTGGTCCCCCACTCACCCCCACACGTGACGACTCACGTGACCCTGAGTTTCCCCGTGTCTCATCGCATAGACGAAGGCGACGTCAAGAAGATCGAGGAGGCAGCGTTGGAGTTTGAGAAGAAAACGTGCATCCGGTTCATCCCTCGCTCCAGCCAGACTGACTACATCTACATCCACGCGTGGGACGGGTGAGACAGAGACACGGACACGACAGAGACACGGACACTATAGAGACAAGGACGCTACAGAGATATTGACACTCCAGAGACACAGACACTACAGAGACACGGATAATACAGAGACACGGACACTATAGAGACAAGGACACTACAAAGGTACAGGCACTACAGAGACATGGACACTACAGAAATACGGACACTACAGAGACATGGACACTACAGACACAGACACTACAGAGACACAGGCAGTACAGATACACAGATACTACAGAGAATAGTGAGTGAATGGGGCTCAGTGCCCAGGCTGGGTTTGTCTCTGTGTGGTGAATGAATGGGGCACAGTGCTCAGGTTGGGATTGTCTCTGTGTGGTGAGTGAATGGGGCTCGGTGCTCAGGCTGGGGTTGTCTCTGTGGTGAGTGGTGAGTGAATGGGGCTCGGTGCTCAGGCTGGGGTTGTCTCTACAGGAATTGGTCATTCCTGGGCCATCAGGGCAGAGACCAGGCGCTGTCCCTGGAGCCTGGTAAGGTGACCAAGGGCGTCGTTCTGCACGAGTTGATGCATGCGCTCGGCTTCCACCACGAGCACTGCCGTAGCGATCGCGACGACCACGTCTTTGTGTTGAGCCACAACGTCAAGCCCGGTGAGATGGACAGGACAGCGCAGTTGAATTCTCAGCCACGGCCATCATCAATGGCGAGTGATCTATGACCTGATCCTAGGCCACCGCTTCAACCTTAAACAACCCACCCCCATGATGACACAGCGTGAATAGGCTAATGTCCAACAGTAGATTGATGAAGGCTCTAAGTTATGGTGTCAACCAAAGTGTTTGTTGTGTTAGAGAGTATTGTCCCTGGATCTTTGTGTAGAGGAGTAGTATGACGACATGACATCATGCGCGCTGTGAGGCGCGATGATGTCATGTCACGGCAGCTACTTAAGGGGGACCCCGTGACGAAAGGGGGGTCATTGTGGGAGCCCAGGTTGGTGAGCGTCGGAAGGAGGTCTCTCCTCCTCGTGACTGGACGGTGTTGGCTGATCCCCTGTCCGGGTTCTATGAGTAGGAGAGCCGAAGACATAGCCAGAGGTAGGGCTCAGTGAAGTCTGCAAGAGTCAGCTAGGTTTACGTGGAGTGCTGCTCTCCTCGGTCGGGCGGTGTTGTTTGAGCCCCCGTCCCGACTCGAGTGAGAGAGCCAAGAGGTAGCCAGGGCTAGCAGCAGATAGAGTCCGAGGTCCCAGTGTAGGGATACCTACCTCTGGTGTGTAGCGTTACCCTTGTGTTAGTAAACTGGCATAAGCCCTTACCTGGAAATCTGCCTCCGAGTCGTCGTGCACCACACAATATTTGTAATAAAGTGAGAAGCTGTATTCCTTTAATGACTTAGTCATAAATTAATATATTTATTTTCAGAGTGGGTGGATGCCATTGTGAAGACAACCCCCCATGAGCACAACCTAAGGACCCCGTACGACTACAGCTCCGTCACCCACTACGGCATGTACGTCTCTCGGTGTGCCGGCAGGCTGTGTACAATGCTAGCAAGGCGTCCAGGTGGTTTGTGGAGTTCCTGGAGCTGGGATAGACGTGGCCAGGTCTTGGAGGGGAAGGGATGAATATCCAGCCATGGACCATTACGAACTATAACCATCTTCACCATATGCTGTGCAGTTAGCGTCTGTAGCAGGCCCGGTGAACCACGTGGTCACATGGCCTCGCTGTGATGGTCCCTTGGCTTGAGGTTGTGGGGCAGATCCAGGTTCTCTGGGTTGACCCGTTGAGTTCCTGGCATCTGCCCAACATCCTGGGTACCAGACAAGAGCCAAGTCCACTCAGGTCCAGTTCCTCGTGAGCCCCATCAAGCTCCTGCTCTCAGCTCCATAGCTGTGCGTCCATGGCCTCTTGGTCTGGCCTAAGTGCAGCTGATCATGCTGTGCATGTAGGATACAGGTCCCCATTTCCACAGCTTCATTTGTCATCGTTATATCGGTGCTGCATCGTTTGTTACATTATTTTGTTATCTGTATCATCACCCTTTTGTGTATAGTCCATTTGCTCTGCAATATTACGAACACGATCAACAACCACTGAAAGTAGAGTCATTGCCATAGTCCAATGGCTATGAACTACATCATTGTTAGAAGGACTATATAAACTCACAGTTGGGCACAGTACCAAACTTATTTGAATTGTTAAACAGTGTCGGTAGATTTATCTCTGTTTTTGAAGACATCCCAACAGCAAAGTGATGAAGTACAGCGGTGAACAAGGGCAGGCTGGAGTGCTTCTGGAAGGCTGAACTAAATAACGAAGAGTAACATAGCAATGTGTCTCGTCAGTAAAGTTTGTAATCAGTGTGTACAACCTGCTTTGACATATCTGGCTTAGAAGCTTGGACATTCACATAGAAAATGGAAAACATTTCAAAAGTGCACAAAGAAGCTTGTGGAGATGATTTCTATGATTACTTTAAGAGACAACGAGGAGCAAGTGTGATAGAGACCATACGCAGGTTAGAGACATGACATTGATGGTTAAGAAAGCAAGTGAGCTTGGACAGAACCTGCCACTAGACGGAATGATGGCTGCTGGTCGAGACCAAAGATGGAGTGACAGCTAAGAGAGGTTGTGAGAATATTTGCTATTAAATCGGCTCGTGTGCGGTGCTGGGCAGACTGCGCGTCGCGGCACCGTGAGGGATGGTGATGAGGAGGCTTTCAACAGCGCAGGGATTGTCCATGGCTGTGATGAGGATTTCATCCACACGAATAGTGCATTGCTTCATATTAAACCGGCCAAAATCCCACTAAATAACAAAATAAATTATGACTTGAACTGCTTTACAATGGAGACATTGGTGTCAATTTGCTCTTATTTAATTGGCAATGAACTACAATTTTAAATGATTACGCAGGACTGCCGGCTCGAAAGATGAGCACAGCCCGACCCTGGTGCCCAGGGACACAAGCACCAGGCGTCGCTTTGGAGGTGGCCACACCCTGAGTGAGGGCGACGTGAAGAAGATCGAGAAGATGTTCGGCTGTGAGCCGGTACCACGGGGACCCAGCGACGCAACTCAAGCGTGGACCCTGGGTGAGAGACACACAGCTGGAGAGCTCCGTGAGGAAATCATATTGCAATGCAGGAATGAGATTACTGATTGTCAGCCGGTTTAGTATCACTGGCAGGGCAAGTGTAGATACGCATCTGTGATTCATGACATCATCCTAGGGAGCCCCGTCAATATGCTTCCTCAGAGTATGCGTATTCGTACATTTGAAACTTGCTTATTTTATGAGGCTATTGTTTACAAAGTCACGTTTGGCCAGGCCATGTGTGTGCTGCCTATGCAACACGTTGGTTGTTCACGATGGGAGATGTCACCGAGTCAGTGCCTGTTCCTCTCCTCCACCTGGTCCAGTACATCATCATCATTGTCATCCTCCTGATCATCCTCTACTGCACTGTCCATATGACAACCACATGTCAACGTGCATTAATCTAGCACGAATCACGAGGTACTACAGAGAGAAGCCATCAGCTGTGGCAATGTCCGACGTGGAGGCCCTACCCTGAAACAGCAGGCGGATCGCAAGGCGGGGCCTCTGTAGCGCCGTGCACCCTCAGAGCGAGCCGAGCGGCTTCGGCCACAGCCCCGGCGCTCGCTCCTCCCTCGCCACCCGGCCGGGTCGCCCACCTCCCGCTCGGCCAAGCCAACGCGTGGCTCCCTTTGTTGCCAAGCCATCGCTGAACAACACCGTGTGAACTGGAGGCCAAATTATAGCGGGTGAAGTTGATTACAATTAGAATTATTAATGCGTAGTATATGGGGAAATCTCCTTATTACATTAGCAGCAGAATAAGACAGTTCAGTGACTCTATTTCATATATTCTCTGTGTTCAGAATTCATGTCGCTGTGAAATGATAAACATCACTCTAAGAGATGTCTTGAGAAACCTGGGGCTTCAGGTGAGCTTTAAATAACAGAGGCGATAGCAGTGGCTAGGGATGGGTCTGGACACCTTCATCGCAGGTTCCACAGTAAGACGTGAGATTTTATCACAGTCAGGTATGATAACTCAAAGGCTTCATTGCATTTATGGAGTCGTTTTCATAGCACTGGGAGTTGTGATAAGGAGGTCAACAGATAGTTTGATAGTCGGGCATGGATTTTGATGGACTACATAAAGCACTTGGGAATAGTAGAAATGTGAATGTTCACGTGAAGAGATGTGTGATGCAGGGGTAGTGACCCATCTTACTGTATGGGCTGGAATTGAACACAGCAATGGGGAAAGAAGCTGCTGACCTCTGAACTCAGTTACAGGCAGAAGATTATAGAAATCCATGGCAGTGTAGGGTAAGCAACGTGGATGTTAAGAATAGAAAATAGCAATACTGTAGAGAGTTGTAGATGCAATCATGATGAGGAAGTGATGATTGTCACGTGTATGGGCAAGACAGCCATTGGAGACAGCACCTAGAAGACTTTAAACCAGACGATGAGACAATGTAATTAACACCTTGGAAGGCAGTTGTCAACTTGATTATTGCAGCAAATCTGTCAGAAGGAAGGAATTGATTGTGGGTTGTGGCCGATGTGGTACACAGAGGCACTTGAACATGGGAACACTTTGATCAGCAGGTGATAATTATAGTAATGATGATAATGTTGCAAAAGCCTTATACCTACAGAGCATTACACCTACAAAACCTCATACCCACATGCAATGCAGTCCTGGAGTGTTTGGAGATGGTGTTGTCTGTACTGCTGCGTGTGTTAACAATCTGCCCATGTGTACTCTGCACGAGCTTGTTCGCTGATTTCTCTCTGTGCGTTACCCCAGCGGGAGCCAGCGCTACATACAGAGAAGCTGATTTCTCAAGGCACAAAATGACGGTGAGGTCTGCAGCAAAATTTCATGATCTCGGCAGAGCACAGCCTGACTTCTGTAGAAATCGTTTTTTATTTATTGTGAAGCAAACCTACAGCCTGAGCTGTCCCCTTGTAACGCTCGCCATGACACTGCAGGTTCATTCCATGGGGTAGTGACTCAATCCAGCGGTAGGGTGTTTGCCGCTTGTTGCAGAGGTTTACGGTTCAAATTCAGTGGCTGCTCTGAATAATACTGCTGGTGCATTAGCTATAAAAATGTGGCGTTTGCTTTACATTAGACATTAAAGATCCCGTGGTCTACATTTTCCAGATTTCTGAAATTGGAATATACATAACATTCATCATCTCCTTCTGTGGGGTGCCACGGTGGTTAGATGTTATCTCCATCACCTGGTATGCAGGAGCTCGTGCCGTTCCATCCTGACCCTGAGGTCTATATATTTGGAGTTTGCATGTTCTCTCCGTGGTCGCGTGGTTGTTCTCTCCAGGCCCTCCAGTTTTTCCCTCCATGTTTAGAAACATTCGTTTAGTTGATTTGGCTGCTATAATTTTCCACATTATTAGCCACTGAAAAAGAGCTATATAGCTCAGTGGGCTTTACCTGGTATACATTATAGTTTTTTTTTTGTATGTGAAAACTCAGCAGGACCCTCCTGGGTAAATAAGTGTGATAATAATGCTATTCCTGTTTTTATCATTTCCGGTTGCCTAATTATTATTTTGTCATTTTATTTCAGCTTCCCAATGTTCCCGAGAAGAAAGAGAAAGGTACGCACCACGAGACCTTGTTCAGGTTCATGGAGCCCACGGGAGGAATCCACCTTCTCCACATGCCCAGTGCAGTGAGCGCTGTGCCCTTCTTGATCAGCCTCCATTGCTACCACAGTCACTTGCAAACATTTACAGCAGCCTGGCTTCAACCCTTCAGACTGAATGCGAGAGACTCAGACAACAAAGTCACGTTCAGCCTGGTGTGGTGTAACATACCCTATAATCCTGCTCTTTGGGGCTGCAGGGTGAGGATCACACAGACTTGTGAGACTCCCACACCTGTTGGGCTGCAACCAGATGGCAGTATGGCAAATCCATTGAATCTATCTCTGTGCAGCTTTGAGTGTTCTTCCTGCATATGTGTGGGGTTTCTGTGGGTACTCTGGCTTCCTCCCGCATGCCAAATAATGAACTGACCAAACATCCCAATGCAGGACCCTCCTGAACGGGTCTTGGGACTCATTGAGGCATTTCTCGACAAAGGGTATCATTGTTATTATTGGTTGACTTGTGCGAATTGTGCACATTAGATATCAGTTGGCTTCTCCCTGCCTCTAAGTGACAGTTTAGGGTGTGGCTGTGCTGTGTGGGTTATGTTGAGGCACATCAGCGTCCGTAAATTCTGATGCTGTACGCGACAAGAGCTTTCAGGCCGGTGTCTCAACTCACACAAGCCTGCAGGCTGTGCGATGAGAGCTTGCTGCGTGAGCTGTCTGCCCCCCCTCTCACTCCGGCTTCAGAATTCACCGGGTGTGAAGTCAAGGAGAGCAGGCTCTCACACCCAGTCAAGCACTGGCCCAAGAGTGGTAATGGCCATGTGTACATCCCCTACAAGGTGTCCAAGGAATTCTGTAAGTATCGCATTTACCTCATGAACTGTCAGTACGTTAGTGCTCTGCGGCAGGGCTCATTTAACGTTTTTATTGTTTTCTTATCAGCAACACGGTAGTCTCATCATGATAGTTGAGTTTGAGATGCTGATTACCTCTAAATGTATATTTACCTTTTTACGGGAATACTCTCGATAACTCGTGTTTACAAGTGTTGCCACTGTCCTGGTTCAAGTTTGTTGGATCGCTTACCCGCACTCGTCACGCGTGCTGTGAGCCCTGCCCACACGCATGTCGCTTGTGGGAGAGCAGCAGGCAACCTCGCTCCCGTGGCCACGCCCTGTGTGGGCGATGCCACATGGACCTGCATTCAGGGTCCGCGGTTACTCTGAATGGTCACTTTGTCTGCACGATGTTTTCTTGAACATGCTATGATATCCACTGTGATGATCACAAATTAACTTTTAATTATTATAGTTGGTGAATATGAAAAAACACTTTGACGACTATGATAAGGGATCAACACATCGTAGAATATACATATTTCTAGCATCGTTATTGCACGATTAATGTCTCAGAACATTGTTTACCTCAATAAAACGAGTAATTAACGTTTTTCAGTTACTGCCATTAAGTTTGCAAAGATAAATTATAAAGGCGTCATTACGTATGCCTTGATCACTGCAATACGTTTACAAGTCGGCGTGTAATGTGTTACTTTGTTCTAAACATATCCCTGCCCATAACAGTGAAGACATGACTCTAGTCCCAACTAGATTTGGATTTTCTGAGTAGACCTGTGTGGATACGAGGAGACCCAGTGCTCCACAGGGCTGTGTTGGTCACCCTCTTGACTCAACGTTGTGTTCACTAAACCCATAGACAGCGTAGGGACAGTCAAACATGAAGGTTTCGCAATGGATGATGGCACCTGGGAGACGTGGAGTGTGCGGACAGTGCAGGTTTGTTAGCGAGGAGCGTGGCTGGAACAGAGCAGCTCAGGGCAGTGTCGGTCACTGGGTCTGACACTGGGCTCTCAGCGTGAGCTTCCCTAACACGGAGCTGATAGAGTGGCGGTGGTGCAACGGTTAGCACACTGCGCTGCAACCCGAGTTCGATTCTCGCTCACGCCCAACACCAGTGACTGCTGTCTGAACTGGTCCTAGGCCATCGCCTCTGGGGAGACAAAGGCGGCCGGGTGTGGTGATGGCCACCAACCCCCTCGTGTGACTCACCTGCCTTCATAAGTGCTCGCTAACAGGACTTGCCCCAACAGTCTATTAATAGACTATACGGGGGTCTTTATTTTTGTCAGAGTTGGTCTTTAACAAATGGTGAGAAAAAAATACTTCGCCTTTGAACACAGGAGCCTGCAGACGATGCTAGGAATGTCATGGATGTAGACAACTTATTTAGTTTCATTGTAAATCCGTAAAACGTTCAAAGTGCAACGGGAAGGTTGTGATGGGTGGGACACCTGTGCAGGGTGGAAGGGGTCCCGTTATAGTGAAAGCGACAAGACAGAGGTCAGTGACCAAGAGGAGACCAGCAACCACATGGTGGAGACATTGAAGGTCGAGTGTCCACCTTACAACAACTGCAAGATCTAGCAGAAGGATGGAAGTGATGGTGAGGTGTGGAGATGTTAGCGGTATTGTCCATGTTCACCTGAGCTCCTTTGGACATGATCGGGAATGACGCTCTGCTATCATCCGATGTCAGCTGGCACAATTCCACTGAACAATTTCCTTATACTCGCATGAGAAATAGGCAGTGGCTTCATGAGCCCGAGCTTGTGCAAGTTAGCACAAAGCATTACAATAATAACATGAGCATTCATTAATATCAAGGTGTTTGAACCCCCTATGATGTGAATTAATCAGTGAATATGTATGGCAAACTATGCATGAGCATTGCAATGAAGTTCACTACTAGGAAATGTGTCACTGTCTTGCAGATGACTACGATGTGAAAGCCATCGAGCAGGCTGTAGAGGAGTTTGAGAAGAAAACCCACATGCGATTCCGCCCTCATGGCAATGAGATGGACTTCATTCACATCCAGGCCTTGGAAGGGTGAGGATTTCACATCCAATAACCACATACTATACACCATTTCAGTAATTCACAGCCATTACTCACATTTCGAATTCTTATCCAGCACTCAATTCATTTTGACATCCATAATTCACATGCTCTACTCACATTATCTGCTTGCATCCATTTATTTCATTCAAAATGGTCAAATCAGTTTAATAATCAAGACAATTCACAATCAGGGCTATTCATATCTGTGAGCAATGGCTGCCATTGCGAGACAGTCTGTGTAACGTGTGCAATATCTGCCGTTTTTTTACAGCTGTGTAAGTGTGAGACCTTAAATGCGCTGCCACTGGGCTCAGAGCCCTCTGGGGCTTTGATAGAGCTGTGCTGTGCTGGTGTTGTGTTGTCTGCAACTTGCTGAGACTGTGCTGTCGTGGTGCTGAGGTTCTCTGTGGCTCGTTTGAGCTGGGATATGCCAGTGCCGGCCCCCTCTGTGCGACCTTTGCGACAGAGATAGGTGTAATCGTTGTGGTTGGGGTGGATTGTGTGATTCCGGCAGTGGACTGCAGCTGGTCTTGCATCCGCGGTATTATCGGGGGTTTGTTCTTCGGATGTGTTGGTATTGAGCTTCAGTAGCTCAGCCTGAGAGAGCAGAGTTATCAAATCTCTCCTGCATTTTTCAACTCCTCTCTTTTACTTTTTGTCTTGATGATCCTGTTGTTCTCTGAGTCTAGCATAGTGCTCTGGGATGCACTGCATGTAAGCACTCTATACATCTAATCAAGACTGGTTATTGATAGTTTTTACATCTGGCCACTAGTTATTTATTTCATTTTTTTGCAAATGGCATATGCAGCATTCTGTGAAGGACATATGGTTCTGTGCAATTCCACATTCCATACCTGTTCTGCCTCCATTGGGATGAAGTATGGCTCATCACAGCCAACCACAAGATGCCGTGCCTTCCTTCTATCCATTGCCATGTGTTAACCTTGGCCTTCAGAAGTGACGTGAAGTGACTCTGGCGCCTCATACTCGTTATAGCAGCAGACATCTCAGTGCTGTGTAAGGCTCACATACTTGGTGCCAACCCTCCAAGAGGTCTTTCTAGATACAATATGAGACATCGAAGTTGGCCAAACTGAAAATTGCATTGTGTTTGGTTTGGCCAGAGCAGTCAGACATGGATTTATGAAATTGAAAAACCTCAACCTATATGAACACATTGATCTGGCTACGAGCACCGTGTGGGGCCCAGTTGGATGCAGTGCAACATGAACGTCATTGCATCTAACTCCTCACTGCAAATGGCATTCATCTCTAAAAACCCCTTTTGTAGCAGTGTCGAGGTACTGGGATTCACTGACTGCCACTTAGCAGGGTCGCACAATACGAGTGTGGTGCCACCTCCGGGTGACATGGAGGATTTAATGCAAATAACCATTTTCAGTTGGGAGATGATGCCACGTTTGATGGCATTTGTGAGAATTGATGAGTGCATAGTCTACATTCATTGGAACTGCATTGAAAATAAGTTCACAGGAGAAGACCAACGTATCGTACTCTCTTTGGTCAGGAGTTATTGTTAACTACAATTAAAGAGTACGGTGAGAATGTTTTTGCCTTAGCGAGTATTATTGTGCCGCTCTAATGGATGACTGGATGCAGAGGGAGTGAAAGTGGAGACCTTCAAGCAGCTGGTGGTTTTGGTTTGGGAACTAGAAATGATAGAGATCAAAACAAGACCAGTAGAATGCTGTAGGTTAAGAAAACTTTGCATAGCAAACATCTTGTTCCACCATGAAATAAATTAATCAATGTACTTGTTAATTTCCAGGTGATTCCGGAAAATACCAGTTAGATCGCATCGTAGTCAAACAGAGAAATTGAAATAGCACGGTGATCGCTCACGGCCACCGAGGAGTAGACAGTCTCTTATAATTACTCTATTACTTCGAAGCAGAAATTGAATAAAATAAACTCAAACAAAAGAAGAGATGGAATCGAGATATATTGAGCATAATACTCTCAAGCACAGAAAATACCATTGGAAGAGAGGTGGGGAGCAGACGTGGAAACAGCCTTGGGTAAAATAGGAAATTGTTAAAGATATCAATAAGGAACAGGAAGAATGCCAATATGGAAGAAAAAAGAGAATCCAGGAGAGAGACCAACGAACCGAGAAGAGAGGCTGACAAAGCAAGAGAACGACGGTGGGGAAGGGAATGCCAACAACTCGAGGGATGGAACAGGCAGGGAAGGTCGGGTTTGCTGTGCAAAGAAGTGAAGCAAATCACAGAAGAGCGATGAGCCAATACCAGTGTCAGCACACAGGGGAAGTAGGACAAGTCACAGAAAAGTGTAAAGTACACATTGA